TCCCTTTCAGATGGCTGTGCTCATCTCAGTCGGGTTCCTGAGCTCGTGGACACCGTACGCAGCAGCCAGCTTCTGGTCCATATTTAACTCCAGCGATTCCCTGCAGCCCGTTGTGACACTGCTGCCCTGTCTGTTTGCCAAATCTTCGACAGCGTATAACCCTGTTATCTACTACATCTTCAGCAAAACTTTCCGTCGTGAAATTAAACAATTGCAGTGCTGCTGGGGTGGCTGGCGAGTTCATTTCTTCGGCACCGACAACTCCACCGAAAATCCGGTGTCGATGATGTGGAGTGGGAGAGACAACGTGCGTCTCTCTTTGGCTGCAAAGGTGGAGAACCAGGGAGCTGCAGCTCGCTGAAGTGCACCGGTGGTTTCACAGCAGAGGTTGAAATTTGGGCTCACTCATGGGTCCAAATGAGTAGGAGTGCAGCACGCGGGGTTGTTACTGCGTATCTTATGTCAAATACAGAAGTTTAAGTATATATTTTTAAGCAACTCTCAAATATTGTCTTTAAGCTACACAACAAAAAAAACAACGCTATTTTTTTCAAGAATTTCCACTTTAGAGGAAATAATAGATAGATTTATGTATTAACCATAAAAACATGTAAACTATTTTCAGGGAAACAGTTATAGTTAAAAGAGGATTTATTATTTTTGTTGGGTTTTTTTTCTTATACTGTTGACTTTTTAGTGCAATCTATCTGCAAACTCTTGGCTCTATCAGTAAAACAGCCATCAGAGAAAACCATAGGTTGAACAGAAAATGTTACCAAATAAATGCAGCTGAGAGTGCAGCTTTCCAGCAATACAGACAGAAAACCATGTGGGTAGCAAGAAATATTCACTGCCAGGAAAAGATGATAAAGCGGCTGCTATCGAAACGTCTTGTAGAGATCTACAGTTCCTTGCTCTGTCTGAGGTATAGTTCCAACTCCTCAAAACACAACCTTGACAGGGAGTTGAGCAGCGTTAGCCTGAAGAGGTTAGGTGGGAATGTGGCAGGCAGGGAAGGATGCCTTCTGCATATCACAAACAGCACGATGAGAAGTGAAAAGAGCTCTTAGCAAAAGGAACCGGATGCTCGCTGAGCTATAACAGCTTTTCTACCGTGAAAGCTGTTGGAGCGTTTGTTTGCTGGCAGAGCACTCTGTGTAGCATGCCCAAAGGCTTCCCCAGGAGAACCTGCCCTGTGTCAGGAATCCTGCAGATGCAGTCCTGGCTCTCGTCACCTCAGTGGGAGCTCTTGAGATACGGAGTTCCCCCCCTGGCTGGAGCACTGACACTGCTGCAACTGGGAATTCAGCCTACGTATGTTTAAAGCAGAGAATTCCAGCATACGTTTAAAGCGTATGTACACTCGTGACATCATCATCCTGCTAGCCAGTTTTAACAAAAGAGATTCTGAGGCAGAAATGATGGGCTCCTACAGTTCAAATCTCTCTCTCTCTGACATACTATTTGTGATTTGAAAGGGCATAAACACGTATCTTTAGGGCTTGAAATGCTGTACAAAATCTGGCTTGATAGCTGCAGCAGTTCTTGCTTCCCCTGCTCGCTCAGCTGACCACATCTCCCTTTGCATTAGGTTTGGTGAAGACAAGAAGAGTGAAGTCACGGTCAGATTTGGCACAGATTTTAAATGACAATCTAAAACAATAGGAAATGGATTTTGAGTTCTTGAAAACCCTCAAACCCTAATAGCTTCATTTTATAAACTACAGCGAAGGCCAAGATCAGGACTAAAAGACAGGTTTAACCTCTTCTGTGGCTAAGAGAATTTCTGTTACTGTGGAGTGTGGATTACAAAAGAACAAACATAATGAGACACGAGCTGTAACATACGCCGAGGCACAAATTAATTACCAAGCCGGGGGTCAGGAGACTTTAAGGAGCTTGCCTTCCCCTGAACTCCTGCCACTGGCAGTGTTGGGAACTCTCATACATATTCCACTAGATTCAACTAGGTTTATTTGTAAAAAGTTGAATTGAAAAAATTGAAAAATTCCTAAATTAAGTTGGCCTCCAGGGTGACATTATCTTGTCCTGGCTTGTCACTCACAGATGCTCCACAATGAGCCTGTGCTCAGCCTGCTGTCCCAAATACAAACAGATGAAGCATCCTCTGGGAAACAGTCACCTCTTGACAGCCCGTGGCCCAGGAAAAGAAGAAAAGAGGAAAGAAGCATGAGGAGCAGGAGAAAACACCAGTAACTGAGAGGGGAAAATATTTGGGAAGAGGAGAAGATGAAGGAGAACGTTATACAAGTGTGTTTGTGGGAGGTCGAGGAGATGGCAGAGGGAAATGCAAAAGGGACGGTAGTGTAAAACAAAAGAGGGGCCAGAGGAGTGTGTCAGTGGGTGGAGAAAACATTAACATGCTGGAAAGGGACTCGTTATGGTAAATGTCAATCAGCCTTTTTTCAGGTTTAAAAACTAATCTGATAGGGAAATTAAAAACTCTTTTCCAACCTGAGTGATTCTATGATTCTATGAATATTCTTCCACCTCAGAGTTTTTGCTTTCACTTGCTCAGCTGCTTCATCTTTAAAATAAATAGCAAAATATATATTCCCGTCTGCAAATTGCGATTTGTGAGCAGAACAATGAGGTGCACGTTAATAATGTAATGTAACACAAGCTTCCTCTGCGAAAAGCTTAGGAGCAGAACAGGTCCACATCCACTTGTAAATGCTTTTAAAGTGCATGCAATATGAAAAATATGCCACTCTACAATACAGACAAAATCTCTGTAAAACCAAAAGATCTGTATGCTGTTAATGTTTAAGTATAATGCTTTAATAGCCTCATTTATTACCTGTTTATGTACTTCATTTTTAAAAATCAAGGTCCAGGCCTTTGTGTACCAAATATGGCTCAGATTTCTTCTTCAGATTCAGTGAGAAGCAAACAAAACTTCCCCAGTAGAGACTCTGAATTTGAGGTGGTTTTATGTTATATACAGAAAATTTAAAAAGCAGGGCTGCCCTTGGCCGAAGAACTAGGACAGCAAGTATAGCATTAACGTCAGGGGACTAGTTGTTTTTTCTTAAGCTTCGTGAAGTTAATTTATGGTCAAATTATAACTCTAATTGCACAGTATTGCCTATCCAGCCCTGGACTGCGTTGTCAACTGAGTGATCTTCTGAGGCATCGAAGCAGAACGCAAGCACTCACCTCAGGAGTGAATCTGGGCATCTTATGTGTGCAAGCACCAGCGCAGTCATCCCCACACAAACAAGTATTTCGGGTACAAACTCCAGCAGCCTCTAACCCGCTCACATACTAGGAGTTATCTCACCAACCTGTGGAAGTTTACAGTGCAGACATCCACCTCTGAGTGAGCTACCTTCGGCCCCTGTCTTTCCATTGAGGCTAAATGGAGCTCCCTACTCAGATGGCGACATCATACAAATAACACAATGGGCGCCTGGATTTGCACTAAAATAAATTCGAATTTAGTGTCTTACTTTGAAAAACCTTCTAAGCAGTTTGTCCATCTCAGCACAGGAATAACTTACAGAACTAGATCACTTCTATTAACGGTCAATTCTCTGTCTGTAAAATTAAATGCCATTCATATCAGAACAAAGATTAATTAGTTGAGGGAGATCATCGTTCTAGCAGTTAGAGCATGAGGCTAACACTGCGGAGACCTGGGTTCCACCCCGTTACTCTGCCAGTATACTGGGCAGCCTTGGGGAAATCACTTAAACTTGCTTTTGGGTTCTTCTCTTATTCACACAGTAGAGATGGTCTTGCCGCTCATCACTGTAAAGCGCCGATGGTTTGATGAACAGCCTAATTCAGCTGCAAAAGCACCCACCCTGAAGGCTGTGAAACGCTCAGAACGGCAGAGGGATTGCCACTCCCTTACAGAAGTTTGTCCTCTGTAGGATCCATCTACCATGCTGGGGAGGTTCCTTTACAATGGAAACTCAAGTGGGAAGTTTTTTTCACAGTTTGGGCACTGGCCTGGGACTGGGTGCTATGCTCAAGTTCTTGCTTCAGCAAAGCTTCTTTCATGAAAGATAATGCATTGCAGGAAGTCAGCTCCTGCGCGTAAATCAGCATCTCCACATCTCCAGCCATCTGTCCTATTTGCATTCCTTGGGTCTTTGCAAAACAGAAACCGCCTCAAAGAAAAAAAAAAAAAAATCTACTATTTTGGAACTTCCCAAGGGAAATTAGTCATGCAGTAACCTGCTGCTACCTTGCTTGTTCCTGTTGGAAAGACCCAAGTGCCTAGTCCCACAGTTTATAGTTATCACTTTGTCCTGGAATGTATGAGGAAGATGGGGGCAATCTTTGCAGCAGGGCCTGTTGCAGTAAGACAAGGGGTAATGGCTGTAAACTAAAAGAGGGGAGATTGAGACTAGATATGTGGAAGAAATTCTTACAATGAGAGTGGTGAAACACTGGCACAAACTGCCCAGAGAGGTGGTAGAAGCCCCATCCCTGGAAACATTCCAGGTCAGGTTGGACAGGGCTCTGAGCAACCTGATCGAGCTGAAGATGTCCCTGCTCACTGCAGGGGGATTGGACTAGAGGACTTCTAAAGTCCCTTCTAACCCAAACTATTCTACGATTCTATGCAAAAAATACTCGAAACAAAATGTTTCAGTATATTTGCCGAGTACCTACTTGATTTCACACTAACCCAAGTTCTCACTAGCCCGCACAGCAGCGCAATTCCACAGCAGCCAGGATGGTGAGGAGCATGGGCAGGATCTGAGATTTTAGCTGGCAACCACTCAGCAGCGAGGGCTGACCACCTGCCATCACCTCGTCCGTAGGCACTACGCTCGTTGTTGTGTGCTGCGCCAGCAGCAGGGGACGTATGGGAAAAGTGTGTTTCATCTGAGCTTGCCATCCCACAAGACATCTCTGCTTAGGCAGTGCACTGATGATTTGCTTGGAGGAAAGTCTGTTTACTTGAGTATTTTCTTTCCTTAAAGGATGCTGGGCTGGAAAACCATTCTTTCCTTAGACTCACCATTTTGTTTTCCAAGCTTGACATGACAAGAGAGAATCAGTGTACATTAGTCAGTCCCAAGCTAGAGCTTTAAAGGGCTCGTCTTCAAGCATTAAAGGCCTGGAGCAATTCCAGTTGAAGTTGGAGGGGATTTTTTATTGAATTCAAAGGGACCAAGATGCAGATTTTAAAGATCATGAGAGTTAAAAAAAAAAAAAAAGAGGAATCTGTAAGGCAAACACAGGTAGATGACATACATTATCAAAGAGCAGAGAAACCACAGATAGAAATGAAATGATTGTCAACACAAAGTTTAGAGGTCACCGACACTTTGACTATGTATTTTCCCAGTTGGCAAGCAAGGCTTGTGTGGGAAAATAATGGAAGATTGGCAAGGAGGATTGTAAACAAGTGACTTGCAGCTGAGGTGTTGAAAAACACATCTGTCATTCTAACTGTTGTTTGGCTTTGTGTGTTGGACAAGCAGAACATCCGTGTTTAGATACCATAGGGCTGTGATAGACTTAGAGGCACCTGATGGAACGTGCTTGAGATTCCTGCCCCGCCGTGGGAAGATCCAAGCACGGTGGGACATGACGCCCGCGTGAATCCCTGATCAACAGGCAAAACCAGGAGGTTTGGCGATCCTCGAGCACAGCCCGAGCTCCGCAGTGCCTGTGTCCCCGCCGGGGTAACTCTGCCCTGGTGCTGCTTCGGGGATCCCTCGGTTCATGAGGTAATGAAAATAAATTTACTCTTTGTATTTCTTCCATGGTTTTGTGGTTGCTCCTGCGGCCTGCCTGTGCCGGCTCACACACTTGTGAAAAGACATAAAGGAGTATTTTAATTGTTGTCACTTTCTGTATTTCCCGGTTTGAACCATACCAATGCTTCCAGGAGGCAATCAGATATTTATAAATAGTTGAGGATAAACCCCCAAGGACCTTTCAAGGCAAAGGTTTGGTTTGGGATCAGAATTTTAAACCTTGATTAAGAAAGAGAGAAGAAAACAGCAAGTCAGTTAACCTTGTTTCTAAGCAGTGTGAGACTACGGGCATGTGCCTCGTTAAACAAGCTTATTTTAAGTAAAGAGCTCATCAGCTGCCATCTCTGAAGTGAGGATACAACGCTGCTAGTTGGACCTGCGACTTCCAGCCAACTGCAGAAAATCTCATTTTGAATAAAGTACGACGGTGCTGAACATCTTAGAAGTGTGCTGCAGCCTCTTCCACCATGACACAGGCAGGAGCACTGTCCCAGGGAGGCTGTAGTCTCACCTTATGATGGGATGCGATGAGCAGCAGGGATAACAACGTGGGATAAGGCCATAATGGTAGAGACTGCCCCTCAAAACCCCTCCCACCCCATTTGCCCTGTATGGATTCCCCCAAGGACTTTTCACATGTATAAATCAAATTCCTTCTGGAAGGGAGAAAAAGTGGCGAGAGTTTAGCATAAATTTAGCTGAACAAAGTCCAACTCCTAAACAGACAGGGATAGCGAGAACAATACTGGACAAAAATACAGAACTAAGTGAGGGAGAAGGAGCACTGGAATGAACTTCATTTGAGAAGTAGTGGAGTATGGGGGAAGGGCAGTGATGTAGGGGTGCAGAGCTGCTCCCATACAAATCCTGTATCTGGCAGTAACCTCTATCTTATTAAACAAACCCTGAACTTTGAAAAATTATGTTTTATCTACTTCTGTGTTTCTAGAGTTAATCCAGATTAATGTTAACATCAACGTGCTGCTGGATTCAATCACATCTGTGCTGAACTGCAGCGATTTTGCCTAAAGACTTCTAGGTCTGAAAGGCCTGCCCAAAAATTCCAAAGAAGTCCTCTGCATGCGAAAGAGATCACCCGAAGAGCTGGAACGGCTATTTTATTTATCAGTGTATCTGAGAAAAAAACCCAATCCCACCTACAGCATTCCCTTCCTTCCCTGAAGCCACAGTTCGAGAGAGAAAATTTTCTTGTGGGTACATATATAAATAATCCTCAAACAGAACAAGCAGAGAATTTACAACTTTCTTAGAAAGCACAAAACACCAGGCCACAGGGCAGTGGAAGCCAAGGTGTGTGGCTGGCCACCCCTTGCTGATGATTGCGTTCCGTAAGCGATTAGTCTAAGGCTGGTGGCGGCGTGCGACATTTCAGCGTCACAGAGACTGCTGCCTCTTCTCCAGGCACTTCTCAATATCATCCAACACCTGGACAGCTGCTTTTGGAATACGAGTCCCCGGACCAAACACATTGGTCACGCCGGCTTCGTACAGGAAGTCGTAATCCTGTTTGGAAAGAAATTGAAGAGACGCAGTTAATAGTGCAACAGCAAACTGGTGACTGATTTGTAACTGGTGTATGCTGGGCCTGAGAAAGCATAGGCAACCAGGGTCAGAGAGAGGCAGCACAGCATCAAGGGAAATTGGAAAAATCTGGCAGTTAGGAGGTAAGAAAGAAATTAAAAAAAAGTCCATGGGAAAGGTTTTATTTCTTTAGAATCAGACTAATGTCAGATCCTTGGAAAATACGTTCAGAAGTCCACTGGATGTGACCCTGAATAACCTAATCTAAACTTGATCTAACTTCTAATCTTGAAAATACTGCTTTAAACAAGGCCTTGGACCAGATCACTGCCAGTGATCTCTTGCCATCTAAGTTACTCTAATTTTATGATTGTCCTGAAATTTCAAAAAGACCTGGCAAGTGGTTATGCAGTCTCTCTTACTTCTATACAGGATATACTATACCTTTTCCAACCACAGGCTAGCAGAGACTGGACAGAACACAATTTGTATCTTCAAAAAATACTACGAGTTTTGTTTGTTCACTTTAAAAGTCTGTCATTCCTCAACACTTACCTAATTGGCTAGAAAAGGAAGAAGTCTGGGAAAAGGGAGTTACCTAAAGGTAACAGAGCCAGGCACACTGTGGATGAACTAAGGAAACTTTAAAGACAAAAGGGCAGATCTGACTGCAAGGGAATTCAACAAACTGTCCCACAGTTTAGGAGAAACAGTCAAGCAGGGGGAGTGAGAGGCAACACTGAGGCCTGATGACAGGGAACATCGGGCTAAATGGGGATTGACAGATGTAGCCTATAGGTGTTGGGACCTGCCTCGTGTCTTAGTCACTAGCTGTGTCTCTTCCAAATTATTATTTGAAGTCACAAAGTCTCTGTGGAGCTAGCCTTTACCAGGAATATGCAAGGTACTGGTAATTGGAAACAACAGAGCATAAAGAACACCTCCCTTGAGGCTATTCTTTTCACAAAACAACTTAATATTCCATCCAAGAAACACAGCAAGTTAAACCAGAACAGGGTGCAGAGCAAATCAGATCAGTGAGCCCTGACAGCACTCTGCGACCATCCTGTGCTGACCCTGGTGACAGTACAAGTAGCCTCCAGCGCTGTAAATCACCTCTGACATCAGCAGAACACAGGAAACAGCTAAAAACCAGCACAGACAGAAACACAGCAGTCTCCTAGCCTTGATGGAAACGATGTTGACCCGTACCTGAGGTGGGATGACACCTCCACATATGACAAGGATGTCTGGCCGGTCAAGGGCGTTGAGTTCTTTGATGAGTTCAGGCACAAGAGTTTTGTGACCTGCTGCAAGCGTGCTCACACCAACGCAGTGCACATCCGCGTCGACCGCCTGCTGGGCCACCTCTCGAGGTGTCTATAGGGAAAAGAGGATTATGTGACAAGTAACAGCCCCAGCCTGGCTGCTCAACGAGCATTAGAGGGGAAAAGCGGTGCCTTTGGAATATCCTGGGCACGGCTCAATCCGTCATACCTGGAAGAGGGGACCTATGTCCACGTCAAAGCCAATGTCTGCAAATCCCGTCGCAATAACTTTGGCTCCTCTGTCATGGCCGTCTTGACCCATCTTTGCCACAAGTATACGCGGCCTGCGCCCCTCACGGTCCGTGAACTGGTTAACTCTGATTGAAAACACACAGTGTTATCACCGTGAGGCACTGAGATGCGCTAGAAGTTTTTCCACAAATAAAAAAAAGCACTAGCTGCAACTGTGGCATAATTTCTGTACATCAAATAACAAGATCTTCTAGAGTCTATGTAGTCTGCATGCTATGTTAGTATTCATGCTTTATGATTACTAACTGATTCCTTGTATTTACCAGACTCAACAATAAAAAGTTCCTTTTTAAAGAAAACCGCTCCACTACTTTTCTGCTTTGTAACGGACAAAGTACTGAATACTCCGAGGGTTTCATGAGCTGAATTACAACTAACTAAAACACCGTCTTTAGGTCTTAAGAAAAATTATGATGAATTATTTCAAAAGTACTTGCACGGCAAACAGGCTACAGAGGTGGGTCCTGGACATCACGCTGTGCCTCATCATTCCACTGGGCACAAGTCTGTCCAGAAAAGGATGACCGTATCCCCCGTTCTGAGCACTCGTTGCAGTGCCTCCCTTCTGGTTAGTGGCAGTTCCTAGTTCTGTTGTATTAAAGTGACTGCGTAACCACAGCCTCACCTATTAATCTTCCATCTTACCACCTTATCCACGTACCACCAGGATCTCTCTTGAAGTGGGACACTAAGATTACTGCATCTCAGAAATAAAAACTGGCTTTTTTTTTTTTTTTTTTAAATATTATACTGTTCTGAGCACTCTGTTAATGCTGGGAGTTGCATGGATTTGGTGTGCCTTTCACTGCATGAATCCAGTGGCTTAGTTTGGGGAAAAGAATGACTCCAGATAAAGTGTTTATCAGCACAGATTGGAACAGCCTCAGGAGACGATTCCAGGACACGAATACGTATCATGCAAATAATAACAAAAAGGAACTTGGACAGCTTAAAAAGGAATTACGTCAAGACAACCTGAAGCAGCAGATTGACAAAGCTTCTGCTCAAGGATGTACAGGAGCTGGGCCTGCCGTCTCTGTTCCTAAGGACTGCCGAGAGTATCAATGAAGTAGGCATCCGAATTGGTTTGTGGTACCTTTAAATCCTTTTCTCTGTATCGTTTTCTAGTTACATACTCTTGTTTTCTTACTGCCCCACCCACAGGCTCCCTCCCAACAAGGACAGCTCTAGCTGCTCCAAGGCTGCCAGGCTGAGACCACCTGCGTCACTACAGCTCTCAGCTCAAGCGCAGGGCAAGTGTGAAATGACGCTTTTGAAGGCCCACGCCAAGGCGACACGTAGTAAATCCAGTTTCGTTACCGTGTTTACGAAGTGGCACATATGACCTTGGACATAAAGGCAGGTATGTAAAAAGGAATCAGTTCAGTTTCACGTAAATGCACAATTACAAACACTTAAACTTAAAAATAAATATTTAAAATAAAAAACAACGGTGACATCCCCCAGCACAACCACTTTCAAGTCAGGCTAAACATCACCATTCTGAAGCCATCAAGTAACTCCTTTCAAGAGAGTCTGTAACTCTTTCATGTGTCAGCCCCAACACAGCAGGGAGCATTGATTCATATTACGTCACCACCCACTACAGGAATTCAGTCTCTTCACCCAAGAGGACAGCAGCAAAGGCAGAAGCTGGCAAAAGGCACGGAGAGGCAACCGTTTTCACACATACTACCACCTTCTGAGGTTTTCTCCCTCGTGATATGAGTAAGTAACACCCAGAGGCTGGAAGCTGCATGTGGATATCCAGAGAGATTTTAGCCTTACAGTTCCAGGAACAGTAAGGGTGAAGTTGCAGGGACAACTTCTGGGCAGATCAAAGCTAGGTTTTGTAAATATGAATTGCTGGAAATATTTTAGAGACTACTATTACAGAGTCCTCAAAAGAAGCAATCCAACGTATGGGGATTTCAGGCAATGTTTCTCAGCTTCTTAATCCTAGGGCCGCATAGTCGATTTGAACCAAGTCCTCAAAACCTAACATCACCTCAGTGGTTTTTGTTTGCAAGCAAATATACGTTCAATTAAGTTTTGACCATCCTTTTATTGCACTTGATTCTTCTCATTCTGCTTACCGGCTTACAGGCATGAGAGTGCCTATGCAGGTCGTTGTGCCTATGCAGGTTGTTGTTTTGTCCTGGGGATGTCATTCAGATTTGTGAAACGCTTTTTTAGGGCGCCGTGAGTAGCACATGTATCTCATGGATTAAATGTGAGGCCGTGTTTGGCTTCCTGGGAAGCAGTTCTCACCTATGGATGGCGTGAAGAATTTCATCACTCTCTCCAAACTCCTGGCGATAAGCTCCGCTCACCATTCGGTCACTGGCTTTATGCTCCCCAAACACCTTCTTCATTGCATCAGTTATTTCTCCGACAGTGCACCTAAGACACAAACACCAACTATTAATACTACCAGGAGGCTTACACGAGGACAGAATACAGAAATCACGGGCAGTGGCACAACGATTTGCCTTGCTGCAGGACCAATTCATTTACACTCACGTCCCCTTTGGTGCTACAGCTCTGAACATCTGACTCACCCCGCTGCCATCCACTAAAAGAACATGCAAGAGAATTTTTAAGAAAATACCGTTTCGCTGACGTGAGAAGTGACTTTACAAGTGACAAGGCAATGGGGACCACTGCACAGCAAAATATTTCAGGAAGTTGTATCAAATTTTCTCAACTGGGAATTTTTTGGGCTCCAACTGCAAGATCTTGCATTTGGACTCGTACTAAAATTCAAATTATAAATCAAGAGGAAAAAAAGGGAAGAACACGCAGGAAAGACTGCAGCCTAACTTTTTAACTGGAATTTGTTTGCCTTTCCCTTGATGTTTATATTTTAGTGTTTATTCTTCTTTTCCTCTGCTCCTGACATAGCTCCTGTATCCACTGAGATGCAGAAGAATCTGGAAAATCCATTTACATGCAAGTTACAAGCTGTTTGCTACTGGAGACACTGTGCCTGTTCAAAATAATACACATTTTACTGCTGTAGCACAAGTGCTAGATGCAAACCAGGCTGTGCTGCTGTCTTGTACAAACATCAGAAATTACAGCGTTTGTCCCAAAGCATTTAAAATTCTCAGGCTGAATGGATCCCACCTTTCAGCATAAAATCTATAATGCAGGCTGTACCAAAACCCCCAATGCTCTGCTCTAATTACAGCTGAGCCCACAACCAAATACTTGATGAAAGGAACCCACTTAGAAGGGAAAAACAACTCCTATATGGAGGAAGGGCAGTTCAGCTAGTGGCTCCATCACAGCGAGCTTCTTACTTCTGGTGTGTAGTTCACTGGGATCCGGTACTGTGTAATGATTTTGAAGGTACGCTACTGAGCTCTTGATGAAATCTTTCAGCAAAAATATTTTTATGAAAATATTTTAGTTCATTCTTGAATAGGAAAAGACTAAAGAATTTGTGTATATTAAGAAATAAATACAACTTGCTGCAAGCTTTGTCAAAGAAAGAAAAATACTACTCTTATAAAACACTTCAAAAGTGACCTTACAAATACAAAGGCCAAACCCCATCCATTCAGCTACTGCTAAGCATATTTCAAACCCCTGGAATTCACATTTTCACCAGTCATAATTGCATTTCAGTATAAGCTACTCAGGCAAAATTAGGTTAAGCATCCTCTAAAGCTTTTATATAAAATGCTCGAAGGATGTTTGGACAAGAAACAACTTCTTGTCCACATACTTTCAGAAGGGGGTGGCCAAATGAATTGTACTCAGCTTCCCTTCTGCTGTTTGCAGTTTCAGTAGTTATTATCTGAGCCCTACCTGATGCACTCTGCCATGCATCTGATGTAACAGAAGATGGGTTTCTGCTGTATTAATTGAGTCCTTCAGAGAATTTCAGAGATATATTTTACTTCCTGTGACCCTCCCAGCTAATTTGCTCTTTTGCTAGCTCATGTTTTTTACACTCAGAAACTCAACCATAAACAGTAACTATGCTAATGTAAAATGGCAGAAGTCCTATCTTGAGCATATAGACAAGATCTGTATGATGTATACGCCTGAAGCCGGCCTCTTATCCCTAGGCATCTCCTTTCACAGTTAGCCTGCTTTCTCTAGAAGCATTACGCTGGAACACACATTTTTAACTCACATTATTGACACAGTTTTGGCCATTTTTTGTCACACCACATGCCCCTCCCCCCTCCAGCTTTCTGGAATTACATTTTTTAAGTTCTCTGCTTTCATGCATTTTCTTCCTCAGCACACTAAGGACTTCTTATCTGGATTTATGAGGATCACCGTCTAGAAAAGCAGGTAACGCAAAGTAATAGCAAATTTATAGTAATCTGTACGGATTATGTGTGAATGTGACTTAGCCTTGATACTGTCTTTGAATTTATTTATTAACAGTAATTTAAAAAGCACGAGTTATAAAGCAATCTGTCCACAGCTGCATCAGGACCCACTGACACCGCTATGCAATGGGCTTCAGTGTTACAGCGCCTGCAGGATCCCAGGAGGCTTGGCAAGCACTGCCTGGGTCACAGCAGTTCTCAGACTTTACTCACGGACATAACCAGGTTTTGTTTTTCAGGACACCTAAATGAACTCACTGATATTACTGCTATCTGATATTACTAACAAAAAGCTGAAAAGTAATCTGCAGAAGTGCCAGATTAAGTGGCTTCCCCAGGTTAAAAAGCAAGTTTGCAGCAGACTTAAAGTATCTCTGCATATCAACTCCCTCCCAGAGTGCCAGACATCACAGATTGCAGCCTGATGCAGATACATCCCATGCATAAACATGGACGACTTACTCCTGTGTAAACACTGGCAGTTTGGTGAAGGCTCACAGTGGCCTAACGTGTGTCTTTTCTCCTAGAGAAAACTGTAAGCTTAGATAAATCCTTCTCTTCCTTCTCCTTTGCAGGAGCAGCACCTGAGTATAACTTCAGTATTAAATCAAAGCACAGCACGTGTAGATGCAGTTGTGGTGTGCTCCTCTGTTCTTCCTATGTAAAAGCCTGAATGAAAGTTTCATGTAACAAGTGGAAAATAAATGGTTTGGACTATCAGTTCTTATTGAAGTACAATCTGGGATGAAGTTTTTTTGTGCGCTACACAAAGAAATGAAACGCGTTTCTTTCTTCTGTAAACACTGCTTCTGAAATCCCTTTAGAGTATTTTGAAAATTCTGCCTCAAGTCTCTGCAGCCCTTTAAATCTAAAGTTCCTAAGGAATCCCTAATAGGAATTTTGCTTTTAAACTGCTCATAAATGCTTTCCTACTATTTACCAATAAACATGTCTTTTAAATCTCTGCGTAGTCCTTAGTCCTGCTGCATCGGTGGGTGCCATCTATGCACCCACGTTGGAATAGCTCTGTCTGGAGCCAGGACTACAGCTTCATTTCTTAACAGGAGAGGAAATCCATACTTTTCATGACAGTTACACTTTTCTTTAATCAGCTAGCCATAACATTGGACCCCTCCCATTTCTGTTTATCTTTGCAGCAAAATTTGGTTCTGGAGACAAAAAGTTTTCATCTCACTATTAGAAACTTGAGCAGTGTAAGCAACAATTCTTATCATTCACTTACAGTTTTCAGTGCATGCTGATAAAAAACTACTAGACAATTACACAGAATTGACGGAACAGAAGTCACTTTGCCTTTATTGTATAAACCTCTATTTCCTTCACAAGATTGTCGTTCACATGTGCCTTGTGCGGAACCGCATGTTTTGGCAGCACCCTTTGTTTTGATGAATAACAGGTATTTTATAACCTACTCTGATTTCAAGTAAACTTAAAATTTTGAAGTGGCGATCAAAAGATAGCTATATTCTCTGGTTTGTGTTTTATTAGCCTAGAGCACTTACGTGTCTTGTGGCAAGGACAGCACATTCGTACGTAAACTGTAGCCTGCACCCTGTGAACTTCTGCACGGCTCAGAATTACTGTTGGCTGCTCTATCAGAGCCCTCGACTGTCCAGAGATTCCCTGAGCTTCCTCAAAAGCTGGGTATTTCCACATAAGAGGAGCTTGGCTCTTTGCTAAGCTTCTGGGCAATTCAGCAAGGTCCGTGGGATAAAATCAAACCACAACTGCGATGGACAAGAGAGGATATCGTTCAATCCAGTGTGTCCTACCAGGCACAGGATCTATCCCCCTTAGCAGTTTGTGCTGTGACTCTCTCCCAGTGGTTCACAACTAGCTGTGGAGGCTGTGCTGCACAAATAGGAATTTGAAGAAGGAAAGTCAACGACCATAAAGTGCCTGTTAGGACTGTGACCTTCTGTCTGTTCAGTCTCACACTGCTCTCGCTGCCTCTCTGCATTTCACCAGTCACGAGCGGTAGCACGGTGTCATCAGGTGACAAAGCACCGCGAGGACAGGCTGGGCAGACAAAGAAGCAGCACGACATGCTACATCGCACTTCATGCCTGCCTTTTCCAGCACCGCCAGCTGGCACAGCAGGAACTGCAAGCCGGGAGAGGGACAGAAGAACAGCCCCGCAGATGAAGGAGACGAGAAGGAGCTCAGCACAGTCTGTCTCCCAGCCCTACCTCCCTACACCCATTCTCCTGCACCGTGGCTTCTCAGGAGAAGCGAGGCACAGAAGGGAGGCAGTGCTGCTCCCATTCCCTACCACCTTTGGCCTGCCTTAGTGCTTTGGTTACAGTACTCCAATTACTTTTCTACTTGTGTTTGTCAGGACTGACATCTCCATGGAGTCTTTTCCATAGTCCAACGCTGAAAATTCTGCGCTAATCCTTTTATTTCAATTGAATTACATTACTTGCCTTTAGGATCAAACTCCACCATTCTCCATTCGGTGGGAGACAGGCATCTGTCACTAACATGCTGGTGATACTGGCCTACTTGTCTACTACTTCTGAAGGATTAACGGGCTCATTTGAATATCCTTTCCCATGTTGCCCCTAACAGAAGGGCTCCCCCTAAATGTTCACAGAGCTCACAATCCTCCTTCAAACACTTTACCAGATGCCACGACAACTTCTTTCTGAGGTCACGTCCCATATATAGTTTCGGGGCAGAGGTTAAGTTTCGTGTTTGCAACTCACAAGGTGGATCTGCAGTTCATTAGGGCTTTTACAAGTAATACAAATGAGGTCACCCAGGCCAGTTAACTAGCAGTTAAGTGGTCAGTTTTGGTACAGAAGACATGAAACCCTGGTAAATCTACACTTGTTCAAAGACAGGTGTAGACATGCCGCTGGCAGAGTTGTGACAAGCTCTGTGGGAGAAAATGTATTCAAAATATGGCTGTTAGGTGTTCAAGGAAAGGGAATGAAGGAATTTGAGACATCATAGTAAAAACAGGACAGTGCCTCAATAAGGAATGAATTTGGTTTCCTCATTTCTGTGGCATTTAGTTGATTAAGGAACAGACAGATGTGACCCTAGAGATTGATGCTTACTTTGAAGCAGGAAAAAAAACAGCCTTAAAAGCACCTTAGGTGAAAAAAGTAAATGTTCCTCTGGACTCTAAAGCATGCCTCACTGCTCTGCTCAAGAGCAGCTTTTACATCTTTGCCTGGCTAAGTAAACTTATTTCTCTTTCGACCAAAAAATGTTTTCACACCAATCTGTGGTGCAAGGAAGGATGAAGCAACAGACCATGATAAGATTGTGAATATCCATTTTCACATCTCAGACACTTCTTAAGCTCCCTGACCTATGAAACAGCAGGGTGACAGAGAAACCCAGTTACATCCTGAGACTGGTAAGAGTATGAGTTGTAAACAACACAATGTGTATGACCAACATCATTTCATATCAGAGTCTTTGTATCCATATTCTTTGCGAGAAATTAAAGCACAGCCTTAAGACACTGTAAAATGTAATGGTCTATCTTATGCCAAACTTCAGACATCTTTTACTTCCACCTTGGAAGAAAAACCTAAAACATCTCAAGACACCAACCTCACTCACACCATATCCAACAACAGCTGAAAGATGAGAATGAACCAGTGATTTTTAGACAGCAGCTGGATATTCGCCCCCACCCCCATACCTTGAACGTGCTGCTTCCACCGCAAGCTCTAGTAAGTTGCCTTCCCCAGTGGCCGCACACTGTGTCAGAGCAGCGAGACATCGCTGGGCTGCTGCTTGATCTCTACTAGCCTTCACCTAAAGTGGAGGACAAAAACGTTAAGTTAAAACAAACTGGAAGGTGAACTGGGAAGTCGAGTGTGTAAGACTTTCTCATTTCAAATAATTCTGGAGACATGCAATTGTCAATATATGCTATATATGTCAAAAAGATTGGAAGTAAAAAGCTGCCTCGGACCTTAAAACATGTGTAAAAGTCAATTAAATAACTCTAAAGCTATTTTATCTACATTTCTACTAATTATGAAAGTGGATGTTGATTACTGGTTCCCTAATGCTGTCCCTTAATAGCCCTTGGTGAGCTGCACCAAACAGTCTGAGCGATTAAGTAATGCTACATACCTTCAGAGCAAAAACATTGCTGTTTTCTACCTTGTTTTCAGAAAATGTAAAGTTCTCAAAGGTTAGACATATTCATAAGACTATCTCAAATACAATGATTAAAACCAAATGAACGTATCAAAACCGGTTTTGTTTGGATTCTAAAACTGCATTTCTTGGGATTTTCCATCAGCCTTCACTGAAGTTGAACAGAAATCCAGCTTCTCCGCTAAAGACTACAGTGGTTTCTCAGAAATTTGAGAGTCAAGTTTCCGGAAGGCCACCTTTCCCCACTGTTACTCAAGTTCTATCTGCAATTACAAGAACTTCCATTTTTAAGAAGGTTGTTCCCACCTTATTAATCTTCTCGATCTGCTTGCTACGGACTGAAGTATTATCAATAGCCAGAACTTCAACTGTCTCCTCTTTTTCTAGCTGATGCTTGTTTACTCCAACAATTACTTCAGACCCTATTTCCAGTGGAAACACCAGAAACTCAGAATACATTTGCAAATTACTGTGGAAAGACACAACATTAACAGGACAAGAAAATGTCGAGCAATATAATGCAGCACTTTATAACTACATACATTTCAAATATTTAAAAATTGTTCTTATAGGAAGGACTTAAGACTGTATTTTCCATATTTTATGATGAGAGATGATTACACGCATCAACATTCAAGTCAGTGAACACTGGGCCAGAAAAGAGATTTGATATAGAACAAAATTTATCTTAGCAACTGATTCAGTAATGACTCACTAATATACATCAGCTATTTTTCTCTTTTTCAGGTTACATGACTGAATCTTACAGAATTAAGCAGAAGTGCTGGGATCCTGTGCTGCTTTGCATTTACTTTTCTGATTTACCAGATAAAGACGAAAGTGAAATTACTACCTAAAACTACTGTGAATAAAAATTAATTTATCATGTTATAAAACTGTATTTTAGCTTGCAGGCAGTGTGGGCCATTTTTATTTGCAGTGCCTGATAACATTACTACACTCTTCAAAGCAATATGAAGTAATTTACCTTGGGAGAGAAAAGACAGAACTTTATTGATTATTCTTTATTGGTCTTAATTAAAGACCTGCTTCAAATTTATCTTCCAAATACAAAAGTTTATACGACTTCTTTCCTGTTTGAGTTATCCCTAGTTTTTCTTACTGGACTGCTGCTGGAATGCACACTACAAAAAGCAGAACAGAGCTATAAGCACACATGTATACACATCTCCACATATCCTTAATACGTGTGCCTATGTATATACATATGTATCTATATCACAAACAAAGAGCTGCATCATCCTCTAGTCTGAGAGGACTGCCTTTTTTCTGGTCTTTAGGAAAAACGGGCTGTTCTCAAGCAAAACCAGGAATTTGGTCAGATCATTCCCTATCGCCATCTGCTGGCAGTCATGCCTTTAAATTCAGGAATGGGAGTTTAAGGGTACTATGAGAAATTAAGAGAAATTAAGGCCCAAAATATTCCTTTAAAACAGCCTTTCTAATGCTTTGCTTAATCTAGTCTTAAATACGTCAAGGAAGACTGTTTTCTTACTGGTACTGCATTTCACACATATTGCTATCTCTTTCCAGAAGCTTTCACTGACGTGACTGTTACCATTTTATCACTCACGATTTGCTACTCCTAAACTAAGAAGGAAAAAAAAAAAAAAAAGAAAATGTATGTAATAAATCTTCATACAAAGGTATTCTATTGGCAGTTTTCCCTTCTTTCATCTCCCTGCTCCCTACCAGAGTCAATCCTGGCTTGTCTTCGGGCTGCACACTCTTCGATACGAAGTTTGGGAATCCCCTCAGCCACAGCTTTGGCCATTCCACCCATTTCTTCTACCTCCTCAACAAGCTGAGAAATGAAGAGGATTGAGAAAATGAGTAGTAGCAAGGTTGACAAAAGGAGCTTTGCGCTTGTACTACCATCCAAATTTTTATTATACCTATATATATAGTCCTGTGCCCTAAAAGTGCGTTTCCTATCTCTGTGTCTCTGGTTTTGGTATAAATTAAGACATCTCAAACAAAAAAGTATTTTTATTGCCAAAACTCCACGAATTCAATAACAGAGCATGGCATATAGTTCAATCAGTAACATCCATGGATGAATGAAAAGGATTAACATTTAAGACCTTGACTCTGCACTGACTTCTGCCTGCCAGCCAGCCTTTATGCACACACGTACACAAATACCGATAAATACACACGTACACACATACTAATGAACTGAAAAAACCCAGGGACAGTTCTCTGACCCTGAAGACAAGTGGCATGGCATGGGTCAGCTCTCACACAGCAGAAGCCTATTCAGCTCCAAAACAGAATCACAGAACGGTTTGGGTCAGAAGAGACCTTAAAGACCATCTAGTTCCAACGCCCCTGCTATGGCCAGGGACACCTCCCACTAGACCAGGTAGCCCCCTCCCAGCTTGGCCTTAACCACTGCCGGGGGGGGGCCAGCCACAGCTTCTCTGGGCAACCTGGGCCAGTGTCTCACCACCCTCCCAGTGAAGAATTTCTTCCTAATATCTAATCTAAATCTATGCCCTTTTGGTTTGAAACCGTTACCCCTCATTCCATCTCTACCTTCCCTGTTAGACTTCAGCATGTTGACCTCACCACACAGCTTAGTGTCATCAGCAAACTTGCTGAGGCTGCACTCGATACCACTGTCCACACCGCTGACAAAGATGTTAAAGAGCACTGGTCCCAATACCGACCCCTGAGGAACTCCACTCACCACTGGTCTCCACTCAGACATCGAGCT